TCTGTGCGCTGCTCTGATTCGCCAGAAGCGGCTTAGTCATGCTGGCCACTTGACCCGGAAGCTGTACGCCGGCTCCCTTGGCCAATAAAGCGAGATGAGCGCCGCAACCCCAGAGTCGGCCACGACTGGACCTAATGGTCAGGGGTTCCTTTACCTTTACCTACGTATAATGTAGGTAAGGCCTTTGTTTCTTGTTTTTCCAATTGTAAATCCAGTTCCCCATTTCTATGTTGGTTTGTGATTTTTCTCCTTTTTAAGTCCTCACAAAAACTCCCCATCGTTTTAGTGCAAATGTCTCCTAATACACAGCTCTGCTTTGTTTACGGGTTCTGCAAAGTGGTTTCCCCTGAATCTAATTCAGTCGTACCTTGGTTGTTGAACGCCCTGGAACTCGGACGTTTTGGCTCCTGAACGCCTCAAACCCGGAAGTGAGTGTTCCGGTTTGCGAACATTCTTTTGGAACCCGAAAGTCCAACGGGGCTTCCGTGGCTTCTGATTGGCTGCAGTAGCTTCCTGCAGCCAATCAGAAGCCGCAATTGGGTTTTTGAACATTTTGGAAGTCGAACGGACTTCCAGAATGGATTCCATTCAACTTCCAAGGTACGACTGTACATTTTTGTGTGTGTGTTTCCACCAATGTAGGCGTTTTTATGCACCGTTCACATCCTGAACAGAACATAAGACGTGACTGCGCAGGTCGCGTTTCGCCGCTTCCGCGCATGCGCGTGATGTCATTTTGACCGTCTGCACATGCGCAAGCGGCGAAACCCGGAAGTAACGCACTCCGTTACTTCTGGGTCGCCGTAGAGTGCAACCTGAAAATACTTATCCTGAAGCGTATTTATCCTGAGGTATGACTGTATTTGTTTTGGAAAATGAGAGCTAGGTAGATTAGCGTTAAAGTGCAAACTAATTCGAATTTCTCTCTATGTGTTTTTTTCCTTCTCTCCTCGCAGGGACGGCTGCTTTTGCCGCGTGCCACGTCTCCTACATCTTAGCTTTTGGCCTGGGCCCCTTTCGGCCCCTCACCTTCCTGGTGGTTCTGGGGTTGGTGGCCATGTCGTATGTCATCCTCATCTTTCCCTGCCTTGAGGGTGTCTTTGCCTACGCCGGGCCAGCCTATGCAGCCATCATCGGCACCATGTGTTGGCGTGCGCTGTCCCGCACGGAAGCCCAGCTGAGCACCTCGCTTGGCAGCGTGATCTTCATCGTGTCCGACCTGTTTGTCGCCCTCCATCACTTCTGCTCCTCCTCGCTGCCTCATGCCCGCTTCCTGATCATGAGCACCTACTTCACAGCCCAGGCTTTGATTGCGGTGTCTGTGTCCTCCCGGAAGGTTTCTCAGAAGGAGAACTGAGTGCAGGATTTGGACTGCTGTCGAGTTTCAACCATTTTGTGTGCAGGAGAAAGGACTGCAGGCATCCGACCTCCTGACTCCTCCTGAGTTCAGCTATAACTTTCTAGGCTCTGTCCTTCCTCTCAGGAGCTCAAGTCTCTTCCCTTTCCCCAAATCAATTTTGCTTTCTCATCTCTTCCCTTCATGCATTTTCTCCAAAGCAGTGGAAAGTAGTTTGTTTACAGTAAAGCAATAAGCTTTCACACTATAATGCAGGGTGTTTGCAGATCTACAAGTACATTCAATAGCGACAGCTTAGCATGAAAAGCAAAAGCAAGATGGGGCGGGGGGATACCGTGGTACCTCAGGTTAAGAATTTAATTTGTTCTTGTTATGTACTGAAGTTCTCACCCTGGGCCAGATAGTTATGCAAATAAGGGATCGAAAGTGACATTCAGTGATTGGATAGTTTTAGAAAATTGATACAGTTACATTGTACTGGAGCTCTATATAAGCAGGCTGACTGAACCCTTCAGTTCAGTTCAGTCCTGGCCTGTGAATAAACAAGAGCTGTTTGAAGAATCGCTGTGTCGTCTGATATGTTCACCCACAACTTAACAGTTCTGGAGGTCCGTTCTTAACCTGAAACTGTTCTTAACCTGAGGTACCACTTTAGCTAATGGGGCCTCCCGCTGCCGCCGCACGATTTCTGTTCTCATCCTGAAGCAAAGTTCTTAACCCGAGGTACTATTTCTGGGTTAGCGGAGTCTGTAACCTGAAGTGTCTGTAACTTGAAGCGTCTGTAACCCGAGGTACCACTGTAAAGGGAAATGAACCCAGATAATACCTGCTCTCTCCATCTCACAATCTGCTACTCTTGGGGCCAAGAATCATATATGAGGGGAGGTGTCATTTGGCATGTCACAGACCCATGGAAATCAGTTAGGTCTGTTAATTTCAATGGATCTGTACTGAGTAGAACTAATCCCAGATACAACCCTTGGTTTACAACAACCACACTAGGATAATACCTTTTGGGATCGACTGGAAAGTCACAAAACAGTGTGCAAGCTTCTCAGTTCTCCTGTCTCGTCTTCAGTTTAGATGACGAGCAAAACAACAAGTTGGGGGAAGGTTAAGGGAAACGGACAGAGCTTGTCATGATTCTGAAAGCCATACTGAAGACTTCTCTTCTTTAAAAAAATTTTTTTTTATTCAAAGTTATAACAAAACATATTTTCCAAAAACATATCCTTATCCCCCCCCCATTTTTCCTCCCCCTCCCCCCACCCCCGACTTCCCTCAGTTCCAGTCTTTGGTTTCTCCAATAATGCTATTTTCTGCATATTACAGAGTTGTATAGATCCTCCAACTGTTTAGCTAATTATTATCAGTAAAAAAAATTGTGGATGTTTATTCAAAACCTGCCAAGAAGTCCAGTTCGCTTTGTTGCGTCTTCAAATACTTTGTGAAAGGTTCCCATTCATCCTTAAAGTCACAGTTATCCTTGTCCCGTAGCTTATGTGTCAATTTTGCCAGTTCTGCATAATCCATCAATTTTTCTTGCCATGATTCTTTAGTTGGGATTTCTTCAGTCTTCCATCCTTGTGCTACCAGAACTCTTGCGGCCGTTGTTGTATACATGAAGATGTTTTTCAGCTTTTTTCAGACTTCTCTGTCCAGCTTTGCTTCTCCACCAACACCCCGCAGCCTCTTTTTTAGTGTGAAGAAGAGTTATTGAAAACACAAAAGCTTGCTCACTCTTTCAGTCAATTCTAATAAAGGCATGCCCTACCTAAGTACCCCTGCCCGTACGGGCCAGTCATGTCCAACTCTAGGGTTGTGCGCCCATCTCACTTAAGAGGCCGGGGGCCAGCGCTGTCCGGAGACACTTCCGGGTCACGTGGCCAGCGTGACGAAGCTGCTCTGGCGAGCCAGCACCAGCGCAGCACACGGAAACACCATTTACCTTCCCGCTATAAAGCGGTACCTATTTATCTACTTGCACTTAGGGGTGCTTTCGAACTGCTAGGTGGGCAGGAGCTGGGACCGAAAGACGGGAGCTCACCCCGCCGCAGGGATTCGAACCGCCGACCATGCGATCGGCAAGCCCTAGGTGCTGAGGTTTTACCCACAGCGCCACCCGCGTCCCAGATTGCCCTACGTACTGTGTCTTAATGTAGATCAGGGTTATGTTCACAAGACCTTTTACTCTGCATCCAGTGAGCTCCTACTGCTAGATTTTGAAGTCATATTCACGTGACATTAGCCATATTGATCCTGTACTTTATTAAAATAAATACTGCTGTTTGAGACATATTTCCTCCTTCAAACCAGTTTCAATTCAACTACAAAACTGGATGCGGAGTAAGCAGTGAATGTACCCTAGCATGCCAGCTTCATGAATACAAGTTCTGGGGGTTGTGCGGTTGTAGGGGCAGGGAAACCAAAAAAGTCATGGTGTGGAGGATGAAGACACCCCTGCCCCTTATCTGATGTGAGGCGGCGGCGGGGGGGGGGGGGACTGACCTTGCTGTGTTTTAGGCCTCTAATGCAAACAGACTCCACCTCTGCCTAACCGGCATCCACCCAGATATTGTTGAACTACAACCCCCATCCTCTCCGATGCTTGCCCATGCTGGCTAGGTCTGATGAAAGTTGCTGTCCACAACATCTGGAGAGCCACAGGTCAGCTCCCCCCCCCCCGGTTTAGGCGTTGAAACAGCAACCTGGGCTACTTTTAAAAACCAACATATTTATCCACATTATTTTAAGGGGGCCCTGTGGTGATCCAGATCGTAGAAATGTAGACTTGGAAGGGACCACAGGGGTCATCTAGTCCAACCCCATGCAAGGAATCTTTTTGCCCAACGTGGGACTCGAACCCACAACCTTGAGATGAAGAGTCTCATGCTCTTACCAACTGAACTATCCCATCCCAGTTATTGAACTATCCCATCCCAGGGTTTCTGGCAGGGAGTCTAAAGATGCCAGGGATTTGAACTGGCAGCCTTCTCTGTGCAAACCAGATACTCTGCCACCAAGCTATAAAACACACACACACACACACACACACAGAGACTTTTTAAAAAACCAAAAAAACCGAAACAAAAAACTGCTCTCTCCAAGTCTGGGCAAAATAATGGGGAGCTGTTTGCCCAGTGGGTTGCTGCTGGTTGTTTTGCTGCTGGCTGATTCACTTCCTCCTGAGTTGCGGGCGTGGAAGGAGGAGGGGACAAAGCCGTCTGCCCAGCCAAAAGGGAACAGGTGCCACAGCAGGTAGAAAAGAAGATCAGGAGGAGAGTGGCCAAAGGCGCATGGTGTCGGGATGCTAACTCCCTTCTGGGGGAGCTGGGGATCGTTTTCAACCCTGGGGCCTGTTGGCTGATGGCATCTTGCATGCTACGCCCAAGAGGAGGTTGGCTGCCCTTGCTGCTGGTAAGTGGATTTAAAATAAAAACAAAAGCAAACCCAAACCCAAACTCAAACCCACTCCCCCTACTCGGCTGTTTCTTTGGCATAAAGAGCTGTTCCCTCATCCCTAGGGTTGGTTGTGCCTCCCCGGTAAAGGAAGGATCCCTGGATATAGACCCACTGCATACCAGAAGTGGCTGCAGCAGTGTGGTGTAGCGGTTAGAGCGAAAGGCTAGTATCTGGGAGACCAGGTTCGAATTCCCACTCAGCAGTGAAACTCACTGGGGGGCCCTGAGCCAGTCATTGCCTCTCAGCCTAACCTACCTCAAAGGGTTGTTGTGGAGACTAAATGAGGAGGGGGATAACCGTATACACCACCTTGAGCTCCTTGGAGGAAAAGGTGAGATATTAATGCAAGAAACAAACCAACAAACCAAGGAATCTGGCTTATACTGAGTCAGACCATTGTTCATCTAAGTAGTGTCCACACCAGATAACAGCATCTTTCTGTGGTTTCAGGCAGGGTTCTCTGGTGGCCTTACCAGTGCAGATACTGAACCTGGGACCCTTTGCATGCAAAGCAGGTGCTGTACAGCTGAGCTATGGCTCTACCCCAATCTAAAGCTGGCGTAGGCATCATCTTGCCCACAGCAAGACACAACACAAAAGGAAAACGCATTTGGGAGGGAGGAGGAAATACTCAGCCACTAGTTCTTAGTCTTGTTCTTGAATGTGGGGCCACTGAAGCAGCTAGTTTAAGAGCCAAACTAGACATGACATTTGATTGTGTAAATGCTGTTACTGCAGTTACTTGGCTGGAGAACTGGATTGTAAAAATGGAGTGATGTGAATTTTGGAGGATGCCTGCGTTTCAGTTCACGTATCGTTCTGGAAAGCACAAATTCAATAGTTTGTGCCTTTAAATGGAAACTGAATCTCACTTCTTCCCTATCCCTAGACTCTCAGCATTTTAACTTCTGTTCTGTAGCTGAGAACAGAACTGGAATATTGGCAGGGCAGGGGCAGGAGGTAGTTGAGGACGGCACACAAAGAGGAGTGGGTATGTTAGAGGAAAATTAACGTAATGGGAAAGTCATTATTTGCAATTCAAAAAACGACAGAAGGACAGAGTCTATTAGCACCGCAAAGTGATTGACTGATGCACATATACAAATATCCACATTTTTCCAAAACCATTTTCAAAAGTGCGTTTTTGTATGTCATTTTCACAAATATATGCACAATAAAATATATAGGATTTTAAAATCTTGCAGCATTCCAGGTTCCAGTGTGTTTCAAAGGTATCTGTTCGTCTGAAGGAATTTCAAATACAGTAATATCCTTAGATTCAATCCTTGCATAGAAAAGACTAAGAGACAAGCATTTTCCACACAGCAGTTTATGTAAAAATGGCAAGATGGTTTAAAGGGCATGTTTCTTTATTATTATTATTATTATTATTATTATTATTATACCCAGCCATGGTTTTACTTTTTAATCTAAATCTGATGAATTATTGCATAGACCACTATATTGTACTATTAGATATATTTTAGATTGGCTTGGGGAATCAGTTGTGTTAGTTAATCCAAGACAGAGATTGTATTTCTGGCGAAATGTTTGACTTTACATTATCCTTCTATGGGCTAAGAGTATTTGCGTGAGTTTGTTGGTGAAACAGCCTAGGGGAGATTTCTGATTGTATTGCACATATGACTTTGTACTACCAACCTTCACACTGTCATTTGGGATTTAATTGTTTTTATTGCAAACACCACCTATTCACCAAACCACCAGATGCTCAAATACACCTGTACAGCAGGTTACAGGTGTGCATCTGTGTATTGGCTGTGAGGTGTATGTTATGTGACAGGAATGGCGGAAGGGGACTCTAAAGGAGTTGTTATGTTGCTCAGCCCTGAGGAGCACATTGTGTTTACAGTGGTACCTCAGGTTAAGTATTTAATTCGTCCTGGAGGTCTGTTCTTAACCTGAAACTGTTCTTAACCTGAAGCACCACTTTAGCTAATGGGTCCTCCTGCTACCGCCACGCCGCCGGAGCACGATTTCTGTTCTCATCCTGAAACAAAGTTCTTAACCTGAGGTACTATTTATGGGTTAGCGGAGTCTGTAACCTGAAGCATATGTAACCCGAGGTACCACTGTACTAACATTGATCAATGAGGGCTAGAAACCTGTGTTTTGCTTTCAGCAGGCACAGTGCGTATCCAAAAGCCACATTCAAGCTCTTTAGCCCTGCTGAGGTGTTGCTTTTCTGCAGTTAGTGGAAACTGGAATGGAAATGGAAATTTTTCAGATAGCAGATCATGTACCATGATATTATCCAGCAATGCTCTGTGACCAAGACCTGTCTATAACGTTTTCTTAAAAAGAAAACAAGGGCCATTCAGCAAAAGTCCCTGGGCAGCTTCAGTTAGAGGTTTGCTGCAGGCTGAACAATTGCTAGAGACATGTATTTGGCATTCCTGCTAAAAAAAACCCTAAAGGCTGAAGGCAGCAAAAAAGTGATATAATCGGCACCGTCGCATATTGGAAGGGCTGCCTGGCAGATGATGATGTGCCCAATTAATTTTCTCTTGTGCCACACCAGGGATGATGGGGAACCTCTGACCAATGTGCCAGATCTGGCCTGCCAGGCCTCCCCAATGGCCCAGAAGGCCACTCCCCCCAAGTCCCCTGCCCCACACCATTTGTGATGTCAGGTGTGGGGCAGTTAGAGATGCAGTTCATCCCTGCAGAAGGCAGGATTGAACTCCTGCTGTAACACCAAGCTACGCCCTTTCCCCTTATGCAGGAATGCCCACAGTCTCGGCTCACAGGCTGGAGTTTAGAAAGCAGCCATTGCTAGGCTGCTGATCCTGACCCAGACCGCAAGATTTGGGTTTCGTGAAAGGCACCCAGGTCACCACCAGCTGCTCATGCCCTCCAACTTGCACGCTTTGGGAATATATTCCAGCACAGGAGGAAATAGTGAGCTGGCTTTTTGCTCTCTCCTTTAAGCAGAAACCAGCTGAAACGCTGGTGGATGGTCTTTATTGCAGACTTAAAGCTGCAATCCTAAGCACCATTACTTGGAAGTAAGTCCCATTGAACCAATGGGGCATGCTCCTGAGTAAACATATTCCGGGTGCCAGACTTTGCAAGGTGTTATGTACTGAGTTGAATAGGATCCAAAATGCAGCAGTCTGATTGGTCCTAGAACAATAGGATCCATAATGCAGCAGTCTGATTGGTCCTAGAACAATAGGATGCAGAATGCAGCAGTCTGATTGGTCCGCAGGAGCCACCCAATCCAACTCCAGGTGGAAGTGAATCCGCAACCTGATTGGCCTATAGGAGAATCCCGGAATTAGCCAATCACGTGGGGCCCATTGTGTAAATAATGTATATAAAGCAGACGTTTTGGGGGAACTGGCATTCCTCACTACTATGAGCTGAATAAAGAATAAATAACTCAACTCCGAGTATATTTCACAGGATCTATTTATTTATTAGATTTCTATCCCCACTTTTCCACCAAGGACCTCAAGGTGCTGCATGTCTCTCCCCCTCCCCATTTTCTCCTCACAACAACCCTGTGAGGTAGGTTAGGCTGAGAGACAGTGACTGGCTCAAGGTCACCCAGCGAACTTCGTGTCTGGGTGGGGATTTGAATCTTGAGCTCCCAGGTCACCGTCCAACACTCTAACCACAATAACACACAGGTTTTGACATCTAATCCCATTCAAAGTACATAGCAAACTGCTTGGGAAAAGATAGCATTGGGGGGGGGAAATGATGCAAGCTTTTGTGCTACACAGGACTCTTCCTCGGGATGGATATTTAGGGTGGGGAAGAGTGAAAGGGGAAGAAAACAGTCCATAGTGTTTACTCAACTATAGCAATATAATCTTTACCCAGACTTCTCTGTCGCTGGTGACAGGGCCCCTGGACAAAGCAGTAAATGCAAATATTCCCCTTGGAAATGCAAAACAGTTTTTAAACAAACCCTCGTGTGTTTAGCGCAACCTGGGCTTCACAGATCACTTGGAAGATGCAGTGTGTGTGTATCAGTTAGGATCAGGGAGCGACAAATATTTTAGGTCCTCCATAGGCGCATTTGGATTTTTGACTGAGTGCAGAAGGTGCCACTCTGTCTGGGTAAATTTCCTTCCCTGGATCAGCCCCCGCTCGCTCTCCGAGAGACAGAAAGCCTGCACATCAAGACTTCCCTTTTCCCAATGGCTCTGGGTAAAGGTTGGATCCCGCAGAATGGATCTGAGCCTTGAAAAGTACACAGACAGAGCTGGAAGAGGAAGTGGGGAAAGAGCACAACTCTTCCAACTTCCTCCTCCAGCTCTATGGGCTTTTCAAAAAAGAAGGAACCAAGCCTCGTCGTGACCAAGGGGGCAGTGGGACAGGGGCCCTAGAATGCTTATGGAAGTGAGAGCTGAACCATAAATAAGGCTGATTGCCAAAGAATTGATGCTTTTGAATTATGGTGCAGGAGACTCTTGAGAGTCCCATGGACTGCAAGAAGATCAAACCTCTCCATTCTGAAGGAAATCAGCCCTGAGTGCTCACTGGAAGGACAGATCATGAAGCTGAGGCTCCAATGCTTTGGCCACCTCATGAGAAGAGAAGACTCCCTGGAAAAGACCCTGATGTTGGGAAAGATGGAGGGCACAAGGAGAAGGGGACGGCAGAGGAAGAGATGGCTGGACAGTGTTCTCAAAGCTACCAACATGGGGAGGCAGTGGAAGATAGGAGTGCCTGGCGTGCTCTGGTCCAGGGGGTCACGAAGTGTCGGACACGACTAAATGACTAAACAACAACCAGGGGAAGACCCGCTCCTCCCCAGAGTACCATTGCACCCATGGGTGGCATGTTGGCAACTCCAACTATAGGAAAACATTAGAATCTGAGGCTGTGTACACACCATGCATTTAAAGCAGATGGCTTCCCCCAGAGAATGCTGGGAAATGTAGTTTACTGCTCACAGAACTACAACCCCCAGCACCCTTAACAAACAACTGTTCTCAGGATTCCAGGTTGGGGTGGCGACGGATCTGCTTTAAATACACGTCGCCTTAGAAAGCTGGAGATAATGTTGAAAAAGCACGAGGTGGAGACAGGGAATCAGGGGAGCTGAAGCCACAACATAGCTCAGTCAGTAAAGCATGAGGCTCTGAATCTCAGAGTTGTGGGTTTGAGCCCCACGTTGGGCAAAAGATTCTTGCATCACGGGGGGTTGGACTAGATGACCCTCATGGTCCCTTCCATCTCTGATGATTCTATGAAAGTCCAGCCTGATGGGGTTTTTGATGACGTTGCTCTGAAATGCATGAGGAACGACTTGTACAGGCATCCTACCGATAACATGAGCCAGGTTAAACGGTGTTCGTGGGAATCACAGTGCCAACATCTGTGAGCAAGGCCTTCTGGGAATTTAAAAAACCCTTACATCTTTCACATTATGCCTTTCCCCCTGCCAGGTGCTGCTGCTGCTGCTCCTTCAGCCTGGACAACACAGTGAGTTGCTTCTATGATGATAGCCAACATTTTAATGTCGGTTTTGTGTGTGGCTTTAGCTTTGCAAGGAAATTCAGCAGGTGCAATTTTCTCCAAGGTGGAGATGCAGCAATGGGGAGGGGTGCACCTGTTGAAATGCTGCCTGCCTGAAAGCTGATGTAAAGGTACTGAAGCTTAGGTGATTACAGGAAAGCATTTTAGGCAGTGCTAAAATCCTCTTCACTGCAAGGCAGGGCGATACGAAAGAGTAGCTACCTCTGAACTCTATCAGAGGTCAGTGTTCAACCAGCCCTAATTATATTTTTTCGGACTACAACTCCCATCATCCCTGACTAAACAGGCCAAGGATGATGGGAGTTGTAGTCCAACAACACCTGTGGACTCAAGGTCAAAGAACACTGGTTTAGATGAACCCTGAAGAGCAAACAGTGCCTTACGTAGAAGTTTATGTAAAGGTAGCTCAACAACCATTTCCCAGGTTGAGAACCCCGATTTGAGAGGGGGGCAATTTGAGAGGGCACTTAACCCTTTAACCACCAGTTGTCCCCCAGCTCCAATATGCCCCTAACCCATGGTTTCCCACCATAGGGTTTCCAGACTGTTTGGAGGAATGAGAACCCAGTGTGAGAAGGGACAAGTGGGGAAACAAAAGAAGTAAGGGCAAGTTAGTCCCAGCATCCTAGTGACTAAACTACAAGATGGCCATTAGCAAAGATGGCTTTTGGAAAGGATCAGATAAATTCACGGAGGAATATAGGAATTTTGCCTTATATTGAATCAGACCACGGGTCCATCTTGGTTAGAATTGTCTTCAGTGACCAGCAGTGACTCTCTTAAGATTTCAGACTTTCGCAGGCTTACTTGGAGATGCCTGGAAGTGAACCTTCCTGCTGAACTGCGGCCTCATTCGCAAGCAGAGGATCAGTCTATCAAAGCCCACCAGCCAGGATAGACAGAATAGAGCCTCCATGTTCAAAGGCAGTGTGCTGTTGACTAATACCAGTTTCGGGCCTTCGTGCCTGGACGGTGTGGGTATCCTTGAGGTTTCCAGCTGGCCCCAGCTATAAATAGGATTCTGGGAGACTAATCCAATCCAGCAGGGCTCTTCTTGCTTTATTAAAAGTTTTTTGATTTTGAAGAAACGGCCTCCTTCCTTGGGTTGAAAGAGAGTCATTTTGGCACAGCTTGCTACCAATTTGTTTCTATGCCTGCTTGGTTTCATCTCTTGCACTTTCTGGAGAATCTGTGCCTTTGTGTGGAGGGTCTTTTAGTTTCAGATGCAATTCTGTAGATTTTATTCACAAACTGAATAATCCATAATGGAGATTCAACTTTCTGCATACTTGCCTCTTCCCTCTCTGCCTCGCCTCTCCAAAACAGGCAAAAATAAAGAATCCATAACTACTACAAAGCCGTCCACAACAAGTGCAGGTAAGTAGAATAACAACCTTTCTCTGGGCTTCTGATGTTGCCTCTTCCTGGCGTGGATTAATCTGAGATTAACTCAGTATCTTCTGAAGCAGGAAGACGAGGAGCTGGTTAATGCTGAATCAGATTATTGATCCATCTAGCTCTAGCTCATGGGTAGGCAAACTAAGACCCGGGGGCCGGATCCGGCCCAATCGCCTTCTAAATCCAGCTCGCAGACGGTCCAGGAATCAGCATGTTTTTACATGAGTAGAACATGTCCTTTGATTTAAAATGCATCTCTGGGCTATTTGTGGAGCCTGCCTGGTGTTTTACATGAGTAGAATGTGTGCTTTTATTTAAAATGCATCTCTGGATTATTTGTGGGGCATAGGGATTCGTTCATATTTTCCCCCAAAATATAGTCTGGCCCCCCACAAGGTCTGAGGGACAGTGGACCAGCCCATAGCTGTCAACTTTCCATTTTCTTGCGAGGAATCCTATTCAGAATAAGGGGATTTCCCTTTAAAAAAGGGAAACGTTGACAGCTATGGACCACCCCCCTGCTGAAAAAGTTTGCTGACCCCTGAAATTTCTAGCTCATTAGTATTGAAACTGGTTGGTAGCCACTCTGTTCTGGGGTTTCACGCAATGTACTTCCTCTATACAGAACAGGAGAGAAACCTGTGGCCCTCCAGATATTGGGAAACTACTGCTCACATCACCCCTGGCCATTGGCCATGCTTGCTGGGGCTGATGGGAGCTATAGTTCACCAACATCTGGAGGGCTGAAGGTTCCCAGCACCTTGTTTACAGGGACTGACAGCTCTCCAGGACTTTAGACAGGCACCTCTCCCTCCAAAGCCTACCTGGAGATGTCAGGGATTGAACCTGAGTCCTTCTGCATGCCTAGCAGGTGCTCTACCAATGAGCTATGACATTTCCCCTAAATTCTGGCCTGAATCGAGGAGTGGATCTGCCACAAACATTAGAAGCTCAATGTTGGAGCTGGTTCAGCTGCAGGTCAGAATAGAGACTCAAAGACGAGCGGTAAAGTTGATTCTTTATTCGTGGAATCAGAATACAAACAGAGAAACCTATGGGCAAGACTGGCCTCAGTAAAGCAGATGCCAGAACTGACGATATGGGTCTCTCACTTCCCCCTAAGTCTCCTCCCCAGCCAGCTGTTTCTCCAGTAGTCTTAAGCTCCACCGGGGAGGGTCCCTCTGTGCTCTTTGCTCTGCAACATGCAAAGCCCTCCATGCCCTTGGAGGCAAGAGAGAAGAGTTCAGGGAGGCAGGAGAGGATATATTGTTTATTAATATCCTTCTGAACTTGCACTAGCAAGTTCTATAACTTAGCAGAGTTTTACATTCCCCTTTTAAACACACAGCGGATAGCTGGTTGCAGGCTTGTTTAAGCCTCTCAATATTAGATTCCTGGTAATTTCCCTTATGTCCCTCTTCAAAGAATAAACATGCCACAATCTTGTGTAAAGTATATAAAAGAAGTTTACTCACATCATCAGTTCACAGTTGGATCCCTGAAGGCAGACTTAGTTGCAAAGTATATATATACATGTGGATCTATCCCATATGGAGATAATCCCAGTGTTCTCTGTTGGCTGAGAGCCAACAGATCAATTCTAGCTAAAAGCTGCTCCAACGACGGAGGAGGTCAAAGAGAGAGGGCATGCTGCGTGACGTGCCCTTTTGTTACCTGGACAGGTAAGGTCACACCCACCTCTAGTCACATGCAAAAGGAAGTATGTCCCAGCCTGGAGGAAACCAGAAGTTTTTGACCGGCTGGACTAAACATTCCCCCGCATGTCCACTCTAGGAAAACAAGGAATGTTGTACTTGACTGCTACTTATGTCTCACATCCCACAAGGAGAGCTGAATACAGTAGGACCAGGCGGGGCTAACACCCTAAACTAGCTCCCCAACTGCCTTGGTATCCTCCAGATTCTGTTGTTGGACTCCAGTTCCTATCAGCCCCAGCCTGCTCAGCTATTGGTCAGGGTCGATGGGACTTGCAGCCAACAAGTGTCTGGTGGACACCACACTGGGGAAAGGCTTCTCTAACCCCTGCCTTCATTTCGTTGCCACCACAGATCCCTGCAAATACCCCGGGGAAGTTGGTGGAAACTTTGTCGTTGTGTACTGTCCCTTGGATAATGCAAATGTCACAGAAGTTTTCAGACGACCAGAAGTGATGGACCAGGATCCAGGCTGCGTCAACAGCACCAGCCTTCCCACTCGGTGCCAACAGCATGTGATCTTGGATAAAAACTGTTCCTCACTCGCTGACTGCCTTGAGTGCGGAGGTAAGGGCAGAAATCCACACTCCACAGTCTGCGTCAAGATGGAACCCGGGTTCTGCATGCCGAAGGCCCTTTGCAAAGCAAATGAGACTGATGAAAGGACCCTCCTTTAAAAAAATAAATAAAATAAATTTAAACATATCAGTGTAGTATAGTATCAAAATATTTTCTTTCACTTGAAGAATATGTAGCTGCATTGTTTTATACTTTCTGGGTGTCCTATGTTCATAAAAAGGTAAAGGGACCCCTGACCATTAGGTCCAGTCGTGGCCGACTCTGGGGTTGCGGCGCTCATCTCGCTTTATTGGCCAAGGGAGCTGGTGTACAGCTTCTGGCGAACCAGAGCAGCACACGGAAACGCCGTTTACCTTCCCGCCGGAGCGGTACCTATTTATCAACTTGCACTTCGACGTGCTTTCGAACTGCTAGGTTGGCAGGAGCAGGGACCGAGCAACGGGAGCTCACCCTGTCACGGGGATTTGAACCGCTGACCTTCTGATCGGCAAGTCCTAGGCTCTGTGGTTTAACCCACAGCGCCACCTGCGTCACTGTCCTATGTTCATATTACAAAGTAAAATCATAGAATCATAGGATCATCATTCTAGTCCAACCCCCCTGCAATGCAGGAATGTTTTTGCCCAACTTAGACTCGATTAAGAGTCTAATGCTCTACCAACTGAGCTATTCCATCTTAAGTCATAAATCAAGCACTGCTGCAAGTTGTTTCCTTTTGTTTTCCAGTGCATTTTTTGTCAACAAAAAAATCTGTATGGCACGAGCAAATATATATTCTCAAAGTGTGGGCCGGGGGTGGGGGGTGGGAAGAGTTTGAGAGCCACTGACTTAGAATCCCCTGGCCCGGCCATTTCTTCTTTCTCCACATCCATCACTTTCCAAACTGCAGACACCCCATTTCTTCTTTTTTCTTTTAAGTGGATTTGTTGTGCTAAGGCAACGGAGTGCTTCGATCTACTTTCTTTCCGCAAACCAAAAGTTTGAGGTTGCGTTTGTGTCCCTCCTGCTAAATAGCAGCAGTCCAAAGGCCCCCTAGAGCAGGCCCCAGTGTTAGGTGCAATGAATTTGGGTCTGGTCTCCCTATAAGGAGTGGTCTGTGGGGCTGAAGTGCACATTGATTGCTCATTCTCTGCTTCTGCTTCTGAACAGAGCCATGCCCTGTGCAAAAACTCACCCAAAGGGACCAGACCAACCATTCTGTAACTCTTCACTGGCAAATCTCCAACGACTGCTGCTACAAGGCGCACAGAGGCAGCGCTACGACAGTCCTTAAAGCCAGCATCAGTAACTGCACAGCCAACATCCCAAAACTGTCGCCTGGGCAGAACTACAACATGACAGTGTTCAGAAAACTGGATGGACGGTGCAGCAAGGGATCATCCATCACTGCCTTCACCTGTGAGTCTCGCCATTACCTTCTACTTGTGGGAAATTGCAGTCAGACACAGCAAGCAAGCTTAGGGCTAGTTAATGCATGAAGGGGTTAAAACCACAGAATTGTACTCCTAGACTCAGCCAGGTCACGCCCCCCTCAGCTCTTAGAAGAAAGTTAAGTTTCCTCCTTTCTTTGGTCTTTTTCACCATGTGAGATAGGAGGCACCTGAGCTTGCTCGCTGCAAGCTCAGACCACATGCTTAGAGCCAAAATTTCTGCCTGTGTTTACTTTTGCTGCTGCATGGATAAATGCATGAAACTTTGGAACTTTGTAAGCAAAGCATTTTTAAACTTACTAAGGTGCAAGGTCTGTTCAGTGCTAAGAGGGGTAGAAATGGGAAGCTCTGGTAGCAGACTAAACAGGATATTAAAAGGTTTAACAGCCTAAATCCCTACGCTACACTGCTGCTTGCTTTTGTAACTTTCTAAAACACTGCTGGGGGCTCTCTCTTGCTGGAGAATGTGTTTAGCTCTGCACTTTGGATCTAGGGATCCAGCCAATTCTTTTATTTATTACCCCACACAGCTGATCTATATCTATTTTCCCCCACTCTGCGAGCAGCAGCTGAAACCAGGTCTTTGGACAGCAGGGTGGGCAACCCCTGGCCCTCCATTCGTTGTTGGACTATAGATCCTATCATCCCTGCCTATTGGCCATGCTGGCTGGGGCTGATGGGTGCTGGAGTCTTGAGGGGCTATGGGTTTCCCCTCCCTTCTCTGCAAGGCACTGTATGTTAGCCGAGGTGTGTGTGGCGATGTCTGGAGCACTGAGGAATAGAGAACAAGTTGTTATCTTGTGCTCTGATAGTGTAGCCTGCTTAAATTTTATCCTAACTACCGTAGCTTGGCTGTGTGCATGCTCATATTGATCCATAAATGTGTGTGTGTGTGTGTGTGTGTGTGTGTGTGTGGTTAGATATGCAGCATATTTCATTTTATTTAAGCTATGCCCTGCCTTCCCGATCATCAGGATCCGCAGGGCAACTTAGCAGCGATATAAAAGCAAGGTTTTAGATGTAATTAAACGGCAGTCAGTATTTCAGCACAGCAGCAGTAAACCAGCAGAGTTGGTTAATTGAAGGTAAGTACAGTGGTACCTCAGGATAAAAACGTAATTCGTTCCGGAGGTCTGTACTTAACCTGAAACTGTTCTTAACCTGAAGCACCACTTTAGCTAATGGGGCCTCCTGCTGCTACCACACCGCCGGAGCACAATTTCTGTTCTCATCCTGAAGCAAAGTTCTTAACCCGAGGTAATATTTCTGGGTTAGCAGTCTGCAACCTGAAGTGTCTGTAACCCGAGGTACTACTGTAGTTGAGCTCTTATCCCAAGCTTTACTTGCTACCTGAACTCCAGCAGCGGAAAGAACTGTGAGCCTCCTTCAGAACAAAGTCCAGAAACTAGGTAGGCACTGCTGCCAGGGTGCCCCTGTTGTATATAGCCAGTGTCGCATAACACAACAAGTAGCAGAGGCTCTGCTCAGGTAGCCATGGAATGATGCTACTGCCATTTCAGTAGCCAAGGGCAGATGATTCACAGGTGTGGAGGCAAGGAGTTGGGAAACTGGAAGGTAGGGTGTGTGTGTGTGTGTGTGTGTGTGTGTGTGTGTGTGTGTAGTATCATGGAAATGCTGTGGCATGTGGGAGCCCTGGACAGGAGCTCTCCACACTGTGTCATTTTCTTACAGGACCAGCTTATGCCTGTAGGTCTGCTCGTATCAAAGAGCCTAGAGGGTCCTTCTGTTTCTCCAATCCAGGCCCTTCACCTGTCCTGTACATCAATATACAGAATCGCACGGTGAATGCGCTGCAGATTGAATGGGCGGCGCCCAAGGACCCTCACGCCAGCCTCTATAGATACAAGGTCTGCTTGCCAGAGTGCCACAACACCTCCGGAAGCTTGCTTTGGGTGCACAACCTGACAGAAGGCAAAACATACGACGTTGAGGTCTTTGCCGTTTCTGCCAACAACGTCTCCAGCATCGGGAGCACCAAACAGGCCACCACAGGTAGGCTGAGGCCAGGGGAGAAAGGGAAGCAGCAGCCAGGACCCTGAGAACTTTCCCCTGCCCCTAGTAGATTGAGTCACATAGAAATCGCTCCCAAGCTCCCATATCAGCACCACAGACCTCAGCGAGCAGGCGGTGGCTTGCGGAACAGGGAGGGGAAACCTGTAGCCCCTCAAGACTCCAACTCCCATCAGCACGAGCACATCGTCCCATACCCTCCAACATTTCTCCAATGAAAATAGGGATGTCCTATTCCATTATTAATATTAATATTAATATTAATATTAATATTAATATTAATACCGCACCCATCTGACTGGGTTGCCTCAGCCACTCTGGGTGGCTTCCAACTTATATAAAAGCATAATTAAACATTTATATTTTTAAAAAAACTTCCCTATAGAAGGGTGCCTTCAGGTGTCTTCTAAAGGTTGTATCATTACTTATCTCTTTGGCTTGGGGGGGTCACATAACTCCATTGCCCTCCAACACCTCTCCAACAGGGACGTCCTAAGGAAATGTGGGGCATTCTGGGATCAAATCAGAAACTGGGACAGCTTCTGTTAATCTTGGAAAATGGGGATACTTGGAGGATCTGTCATCAGGACAAGCTTTAGGCCTGAGAGGGATTTGTGGGCCCCCCAATTCTCTAATTTCCCACAGCAACGCTAGGTCAGAGTCACAGTGGGGAATTAAAATGGCCGCCGTTCAAATTTCCCACCGCAGCAATAGGATGTTGCGGGAACTCTAGATGGCAGCTCCTAGACCCAGTCATTCAGTGGTCAAACCACTAGTCAAAGGGGCAGGGATCAGGATTGGGCCCAGCTGGGGTGCCCCCATTTTGAGACGAGGTGAGAGTATCGTAGGCTTTGGCTTGGAGGGATGTGCTGCTCAGATTAAGGACGCTGTGCTCCCAACATCCTCAAGGCCAGCAGGGGCTGCCGTGGTGTGTTAAGTGAGCCTGCTCTTTCCCTCAGCTCCAAATGCTCCTGAGAATATAAGCGTGTCGCAGTGCGAGACCAACAGCATCCCTGTTTCCTGGGATCGACCCAAAGACCACAATGCCACACACTATTCGTACAGGGTGAGCTGGCACGGCGGAAAAGGCGCAAACCTGTCAGGGAACAAATTGGTTGGAGTCGATTGCCTCAGCTACAACATCACACAACTCCAGCCAGGGATCCTGTACTCAGTGAAGGTGGCCTCCAAGTTCGGCAGGGTTAAGAGCAAAGAAGCCAGCAAATGGGCTCTGACATGTGAGTGCAACTGTCATGGTCCGGCGGGGGGGGGGGGGGGAGGAATGGCAATGTGGCTTGGACTTTGGGCAGTGTGGTGTAGTGGTTGGAGGCTTGGACTGGGGTGGGGAGAACCAGTTTCAGATCTCCACTCAGCCATGAAACTCACTGGGAGACGTTGAGCTAGGCATGGCCACTCCACCTAGCTTTACCTTTCAGGCAAGGGTGGATCAGCTCAGTTGCTTAGAGCCTGGTGGTGATAAGGCCAAGGTTCCAGGTTCGATCCCTGTATGGGACAGCTGCATATTCCTGCATTGCAAGGGGTTGGACTAGATGACCCTCAGGGTCCCTTCCAACTCTACAATTCTGTGATCTCCTATGAAACTAGCAAAGCTTAAGCTTCAGGGCCCGTAATCCTAAAGGCGCCCCAGAAGCGACTTTAGTTCAAAGTGCTTAAAACTTTTTGGGGTCTAGAACACCCAGTTTGAGTTGCATGACTCTATTTGATTAATTTTTTTGTTGAATATATTTCAACAATCCCAAAGATCAAGAGTCGGTAGCACAGATGTTGTGGTGTGGCAACCTGCTGTGGAACAGCCCCATTGAAGAGGATAACAGTGGTTACCTAGACGTTGTTGCAAAGGGGCCCCCATGAGAGTTCAGTCCGCCATGGCTTACAAGGTTGTTGTCAGTGCTTTTTTTCTTAAAATTTTTAAGAAATTCTACACTTAGTGTAGAAGCAGCTGGAGAAAAGAGGTCCCAGGTCCAAGGAGAGTGGCATTTTATGAGCATGCATTAAGGGAGAAGCTGCGTCTAGTCTTTGAAAGACACCTCTGTAAATGGGGGCGTGGGGTGGCTGCTGTTGGGCAATGTCTTTATAAGGACCAACCCAAATGTCAGAAAATAGTGTAAGCTTCTGAGTTCAACAGGACTCTTCATCAGGCTGGATGATGCAGGGGTGGCATTACCTAACTGTGGGTGGGGGGCAGTTCTCCCCTCCTGTAGACTAACACGACAACCTCTGCTTTCTTTGTGACTTGGCTCTCTTGACAAATCTTGCCTCCTCCTTTCAGGCCCCTTGCCCCCTACAGATTTCAGGGTCCGCAATAGCAGCCAGACAGAAATTGAATTATCCTGGAGGAAGCCGAGCTCAGCTTTCAGCAGCTTTCTGCTTCGGTGGAAGAAGCAGAACGAGTCCAACGACAAAGAAATGCGTCTTGGTACTTCAACTGAGATGACTTTGAGAGGTCTCACTCCAAGCTCCAACTACACCTTCACTTTGCTGAGCGTAGCAGAAGGAGAAAACAAGACCGCGTACAGCGTTGGCGTTCTGCAAGAAGGGGCTACAAGTACTTACAGTTTTCTTTGGGGGGGGCAGAAAATGGGGTGGTCCCATCCTCTCTCAAAAGCGGGTCTTGGCATGCAAGAAAGCATCGACTTTCATGGCAGGAGTTCCACAGGCAGCGGGGCTCAACGGGGAGCTACACACACACACAAACACACACACACTTTGAAATGATTGAGTGGCCTATGCTACAAATTAGTAGAGGGAAGGTCTAACCCAGCCACACACAGGTGTTGAGCCTCACTGCCCCCCAACCCCGTCGCTTGTTGCTGAACCAGGCTATTGGTCCATCTTACCCAATAATGGTGGCTGGTGCTCACTGGTGGGCAGAAGGCAGGGAGCCCAACATCAGGGGGCGCCAGAGAGGAGGTGGAGGGTTCGCCAAGGGGGACAAAACTAGGATTCATTGCCTCTACCTCTCACTGGCTCTCTGGCGTCTGCCTCTGCTTCTGCTTCTGGCCTTTTCTTTGCCACTATTCCTCTACATCCAACCAGTCTGTGACATACAGTTCCTAGAGCAGTTTAGCAATCACTACCTCCATCCAGTGGTGTGAATGTCACCTGATGTCAGGCTTCGGGGATCCTGCCCCGCCCCCCCGTGCAGTAAAGAAGCAGATCAAAAGAAAGAGCACCTTACCAGTTAGTTTCTTTAATAATCACAGCGAGAGACAAAGGAATGCGTATCTCTCTAAAAATATGGCAACGCTCCCAGTAAGGATACACTCCTTCCGTCCCCATTAATCGACGTCACTCCTACGTCAGGTAATCTGAGCTTGTTGCCACTGAGCTCTCTGTTCTATCACTCTCAAAGCCCATCTAGTCTTAGGTGAAGGGGGGGCAGGAATGCTTTCCAAGGACACTGAATCGGCCAGCTCTCTCTCTCTCTCTCTCTCTCTCTCTCTCTCTCTCTCTCTCTCCTGGTGTTTCCTCTTCTAGTTGTGCCTCACCCAGTATTTCCCAGCTTTCCCCCTTTGGACCATGCCCCTTTGCCAACCACTGTTCTAAATCTATGCTGTCCTCCTGCCCATGGGAAGGTTCAGGAGAAGGGCATCTAGTCCCTGACACCTGAAGTAGAGGAAGCTAACAGGCACTGCCATCCCCTAGACTGGTGGTAAACAGGTGATTCATTCCTTGGCGCCTGGATCTGCTGACCCTGCAGGTCCCGCTGCCCAGGGTCAGCATAACAACATCAACAACAATTATCATTCTATATTTAAATGGGTACCTACTGAGAAGATCCATAAAAAAGCAACTGTACCAAAAAGAATTACTGTGAAAATATGAAATATTCAAGGGAAGGGCTCACCAGCCTTTATCCTTGCCCAGGGCACCATATTATCAAAGTCTGCCCCTGCCAAGGTGGTTGCCTCATTTTGTCTCATGGGTGGCCTGCCCTGTCTTTGGCAGATGTGGCCAGGGAAACCTAGCCAGATGGGCGGGGTATAAAGAATAGAATTGGAAACTTCACCCATTTCCTATTGAGGTCCTATTGAAAAAAGGATGGGATTGACATGTTTGTGGGCATGCAATATATATATATATATATATATATATATATATATATATATACCCACAGTACTCTCTGCTTCCCACCTGCACAGAGCCGGACCACGTGAATAATTTGAAGTGTGATTCCTCCATGTGGGGCGACCGTCTGGTATTGTCCTGGACGTGCCCAGCCAGCAAGGTCAGTAAATTGCAGGTCTACCTGTCAGACCAGCTTGTCCAGGAATGGACCATCTGCAAAGAGGAGACGGAGATTGACAACCTGCAACCCGCCTGGAGCTACTTGGTCCAAGTGCAGACATTCTGGTATGAGCAGGAGGTGGCGTCCACCCAGAAGATGTGCACCACCAGCAACGCAGGTGAGACACATCTGAGCAAGCCTTTCAGTAGGCAGGCTGGGGGTGAAGTGTGCTGTTTAAAAACGCTTCTTTCTGAATGACGGCATCCTTGGCGAACAAGTAACCAAACAATTAAACCTCTGTGTTGCAAACAATTATCAGTAATATCCAAGGCAACACGATGACCAAGTACAACAATGCAATATCAATATAAACTCTTTATAAAATCTATACAGAACATTGAACAATATGAAATATATGAAACTCTCTGCAAAACCAAATAAACAGAAATCTTATAAATCTCTGAAAGTCCCAAAATGTGCACTCTTGGTGGATTCTCTTGAAAACATAGAACCATTGCATTGTTGTACTTGGTCATCGTGTTGCCTTGGATATTACTGACCCTTGGCGAGCAGGCACAGAGCAGCCTGGGGTGAGGGGTGCGGGCTGTTCTACGCAAAATGCATGAAAAGGCTTGGGAGGTCTCAAAGCCATCTTAACACCAGGGACCAGCGGCTTGTCTAGTCTGGGATTGTCAGGGTTCCGGATGCTGTGGACTCCAGTTCCCATCAGCCCCAGCAGTCACTACCAGCCGCAGAAGCGATGATGCTTTGTCTCTGTGCCAGAGGCAGCAATGCACCTGCATCCCGGTTGCTTGAAAGCCCCACAGGAGGGGAGGCTGTTCTTGTGCTCGGATTCTGCCTGCAGGTTCCCACAGCCACCTGGCCGGCCCCTGTGAGAATGGGGGCTGGACCAGATGGGCCAACAACATCAGTCCTACCAGCAGAGCCTTTTCCGGGTCTGTCCCATTGCCTGCGACTTGATCCTTTTAAAATAATACAGTGGTACATTGGGTTAAGAACTTAATTCGTTCTGGAGGTCCGTTCTTAACCTGAAACTGTTCTTAACCTGAAGACCACTTTAGCTAATGGGGCCTCCTGCTGCTGCCGCACGATTTCTATTCTCATCCTGAGGTAAAGTTCTTAACCCGAGGTAATATTTCTGGGTAAATGGAGTCTGTAACCTGAAGTGTATGTAACCCGAGGTACCACTGTATTGGAGCCACCAGGGATTGAATCTGGGGAGTTCTGCATGCCAAGCAGGTGCTCAGCAGACCACTAAGCTGTGCTCCCTTCCTTTCCTGTGCACCTTCCTTCATTTATACTCTGCTTAGAATCATAGATTTTAAGTGTGAGAAGGGACCATGGGGTAACCGATTCCTGCACTGGTCACTTCCAACTTCCAACGGAGGGAGGACCACGAGTTTCCCATCCCCGACTTAGACATGCACACAGACTTTGTAGCAGCATTTTCTTTCTTTGTCTTTAGGGGTCATCCTTGAAACTCTGCTCCCTGTGCTGCTTTTCTCAGGCCTCCTCGGCCTGCTGCTGTTCTATTTCTGGAGGAAAAGGTGAGCAAGCTCAATATGGCAGGCTTCCTCTGCACAGCATTATTGACCCCAGCGGGGGGCGGGGGGGGGAGCATCAGGGCCTCCGTAACCTGAATCCGGAGGCACAAAGGAAAAGAAAACAAGCTGCGGCTTGTCTTTCCCCCCTGACGCATTTCCTCTAGAGGGGTGGGGGGCAAAGGGCTAGGCAGTGCACTGAAGTCTTCTCTCCAGCTACAAAAAGTCATAAGAGAACAAGAAGAGTCCTCCTGGATCCGGCCAGTGTTCCATCTAGTCCAGCATCCTGTTCCCATTGTAATAAACAAAAACCTGCCCTTATGGGGGACACAATAGCCCTTATAGAGTCCTTTGTAGGTTCTCCATCGGTAGGAGAAGATAACAGAGGCCAACCAGAGAATATTGAGGAGCAAAGCAGCTCATAAGCTGGATCTTTACTGAACTGTTGCAACAGGGTGCTCCCCTCACACGCAGGAAGCCGGAGGAGGACCCAGAACCAAGATGTGCCTGCCCTTATACAGACATTTTAAATTCGCTGCCCTGGAGCTCAAGACCACCCCACCATACATCATGCATACATCACAGAAGGGGTGTAACCCAAGACCACCCCCCACAAACACCATACCTACATCACAGAAAAGGTGGTCTACAACAGAAATTTGAATGTTGTTTTTCGTGTCTGCCAGGTTATCTGATAATGCCTTATCTGATTGCCTTTCCTGGTAGTCTGGCCATTCCTTTGAGATGGTGATTTCCCAATTCCTGAGACAATGGGAAGGTTCCCTCACCCCCTCCATCCTTGCAGAGAAAACATTTGGTCAGTTTGAGAGTCAAAATGGTTTCAGGGTGGTCTTTCTGTGCTGCTCCAGACATGTGGTCCACATATCTATGTACGTGCTTGGTTGGTACATTCATGAACATATATATATATATGACCTTAAATTTTTTATTTCACCACAGTGGCCAACCAAATGCCTATGGGAAACCAATAACCAGGACCCAAGCACAAGAGCCTTCTCCCCTCCTGGTATTCAGAAGTCTCCAACCGTGGAGGCAAAGCGTAGCCATCATGTATATAGGAACCATGTTAGCCATGACCTCCAAGAGTTAGTCCAATCCTCTTTTAAAGTTAACCATTTTGGTGGTCATCACTTCCTCCTGTGGCAGGGAGTTCCATAGTCTGACTGTGCCCTGCATGAAGAAGTACTTTTCTTTTATATGTCCTAAATCTTCCAACATTCAGCTTCCTTGGATGGTCACGAGTTCTAGTGTCATGAGAGAGGAGACAAATTTCTCTCTGTGTGGATTTCTTGGGCGACGCAGTAATTTCCAAATTACACAGCTCTGCTTATGGACTGGCACAAAGGGCCTTTGGTCTAGCGCCGTGGCTCCCCCAGTGGGAGGTTCGGGTACTGCAGGCTTAAATTCTATAGTGTCCTGTCAGGCGTTCTGATTAGAGATTATTATTTTTGGAGGGGGGGGGGGAGACCACTAGGGTTGCTATATTTTGAAAAACAAAAACGAGGACGCTATGACGACTCTCATTTTAAATACCCCTACTATATGTAGGCTATAAAAGCTGTGATATATTCCTGAGGGGGCCGGGCCGGATTTAGGTTTGATGAGGCCCTAAGCTACTGAAGGTAATGGGGCCCTTTATATGTCCAGCCGTCCTTTGTCAACAACAATGTGTCGCTGTTTTGTGTGCTGAATATACGCTATATGGTAATTTATGGACCTAGTAGGTATCTAAAGCCTTTTGCGCATAACAAAATATGTACATCACAGGAGCCTACACAACACAAAACACTGTTGCTGTATGTGGGTTTTATTTGTTTTGTTTTTTATCTTATATTTTGGAAATGTACATCCAGGTTTTTTTCCTTTACATTTTTTGGGGGCCCCCAAGAGAATGGGGCCCTAAGCTATAGCTTGTTTAGCTTATACAGTACGTAAATCTGGCACGGGGGTGAGGCAGGAGAAGAGAAGAGGAAAGCAAATCTTCAGCCACCAGTTATGTCTATGTCTCATCCAGAAAGTATAGCCTGAGACATTTTGGCAAACTTTACAAAAATCCACCCGGACAGAAATTTTACCCCTGAAAAAGAGGACATGTCCTGGGAAAAGAGGACAGATGGCAACCCTGCCACTGACAGACGTTGCTTAGTTTTCTGTCTCCTTTGCAGGACGAAGAATGTATTGGAGAAACAGAAAGTAGATATGGGACTGCCTGGGTGAGGATGAAGGGGTATGGGGTGCATGGACGTAGCCAGGATTTATTTTAGGGGGGGGGCAGGCTTTATGTTGGGGGGGGGGCAGAACCGAGTTATCTGCGACACAATTGCTCAGTTATTTACGTATTGCCTGCTTAAACTCTGAGGTTTAAAGAGAGACCCGTTCCACCTTTTTCTCCCCTGCAGAGCCCTGGACTCTGTGCCTGTGTTGGCTTTCCCAGCTTACTGCCACGAGCGCTTCTCCAACAGCGGCTTTGGTTTTGCAGAGGAATACCAGGTACAAGGTTGCTGTGGCATCTGTAGCTCGGTGGGCAGAGCACCCGCTTTGCCCGCACAAGGTCCTGGGTTCAATCCCCGGCGTCGCCAGGCAGGGCTGGGGAAGAAAGACCCTTGTCCCAAGTCCTGAAGAGCTGCTGCCAGCCAGTGTAGACATTACTGAGGTGGACCAGTGGTCTGATTGAGTATAAGCCATTTACATTCCTATGATACATTTATTTAAAATTAAATTGCAGCGAAAATACTCTGCCATCCTTGTTTTAGACTGAAAAGGGTATTCCAGAAATTAAGAATAAAGCCTATTTTAAAGTACCCTACCAACGTAGCAGTAAGCATCTTCCAGACAGTGCTTTTTTTTTTGTATTTCTATTATTTTTATTGAATCTATTTGTTGATTTGCTTCAAGAAGATCTTTAAAAATGGAATATAAATCCCAGTTTTCATAACAAACATTACTCTTGTGTGTCCTTTCCCTCTTGTTTCTTTTACTAATTAAATGAGTGCTGTTGCCAGATATAAGAGATTCCGAATCCTATTCAGCTACTCATTTAAATATTTCGGCCGTCGTTCTGTTTTAAATACTTTACATATTCACTATTTAATTACTTTTCATATCCACTATTTTAAATACTTAGGCTGCATTCTTTTTTTTCTTTTTTGTCAGAATTTTTATATACTGCTTATAAACATTTTGAGAAACAGAGAAGAACCTTTGGGTTCGTGCTTTGCCTTGTTTTGTAGCTCTCTGCGCCTCTTGTTTCACCATTTCTCTTTTCCATGCCCACATAACAGCAGCTGCAGGACGTGGGGACAGGACAGCCCCAGAGCGTGGCAGAGAGGCCTGAAAATCAAGCCAAGAATCGCTACAGCAACGTTCTGCCATGTCAGTTTCGTTCCCCCTGCCCTGTTTTTTCCTTTGTCGGTTGCGCTTAGCAAAAGGAGTCTGCTTTAATTTTGAACATCTCACTACAGAGTGGTGGTTTCAGATATCACCTCAAAAGACCAGAGATTCAAGCAGGAGGAGGTGGGAGGGGTCTGTCATTGGTGCTTGAGAGTCACCTGACCCTTGACCCAGAAATCTCGGGTAAGGCAGGCTTTGGCTCAGATCGATGAACTTCTTCGGAAAACTTCTCATTCCTCACTACTTCAAATCATTTTTTCTGGCAATGGGAGGAATGTGCATTGACCCTTGAGGGCTGGATTTTAATTAATTGTTTTGTGATTTTATGTAAACTGTGTTACTTTTATTGTTGTTAGCCGCTCTGAGCCCAACTTTGGCTGGGGAGGGTGGGATATAAATTTATTATTATTATTATTATTATTATTATTATTATTATTATTATTCCTGCACCTGCCACTTTCTGACCCCCATTTGATATAAAAAAATATTTGGCATACATCGTTTCCCCCCATTTTTTCTTCACAACAACCCTGTGAGGTAGGCTAGGCCCAGAGAAAGGGAGCTTTTTGACTGAGTGGGGATTTGAACCCTAGTCTGACGCTCTGACCACCACACTGCCTCTGCTGCTCAACTTTATTCCTGCCACTTTTCAGTTATGTAAATCCATATTTGGTGCTGCTTTACTTTCAGTTTCATCCATTTATCCACTTTCTCTGCTTTTACTTTTAACCCCTTTGGTTCCTTCTCTACAGATGACCACTCGCGAGTTCAGCTCACCATCAAATCCGGAGACCCCAACTCAGATTACATCAATGCAAGCTACATGCCTGTGAGTCCCACCCCGGCTGCATTTTTGTGTGAGATGTGGTTTGGGACCCTTTGACAAAAACTGTATAAGTTAAGTTAAGCTTGGCATAGGTTTGGAATTCAACTTTAGCACGGTATATCCTCAGCCCCCAATATATAATGCCAACTAGTCTCCAGTTTTCTCCCAGGGTTCATTAACCTCCCATTAATGAGCAACAATCTCATGGTTAGAGAGAGTCTGCTTTGACTTTGCACATCTCACTACAGAGTGACTTTGAGTACACTTATTCTCACTTTTCGTAGCTTGCTTTTAGACAAGCAATGGAAACTTTTTTTTATTTCAACTAGCTTTTGTAGGTTGCCATCCTTGTTTTGGCTCTTGCTGCTTTCTCTGTCATCTTAAGAGTTGTTTTCATTTTTAATGACACGTTATTGCTATTATACTTGGGGCTGCACACTTGCTTTCTTTGCCAGCCAGTCCCATCTACTCCCACCCAACCCCAACCGCCCTTTGCCAAAGCCACCCTGTGGGAATGTTCAGGGATGCAGGAGAGGATATATTGTGAGATTATATCCTTATCCAACTTGTGTTAACAAGTTCCCAAAATATCAGCAGAGTAAAACATTCCCCTTTATTTTAAGTTTGCAACGGTAGCGTTTGCTCAGGTTCGCTAGAACCTCTATAATAATCACTCTGGTAATTTCCCCTTTATTCCCTCTTAAAATACAAGACACGACACAGTCCTTTACAAAAGTATAAAAAGAGTTTACTCACATTCTGTTCACATCAGATCCCAGAAAGGCAGACTTAGGCTTAATAAAGTAATACACATTTGGTATCTATCTTATAAGAAGATAGTCCCTTTGTCCTCTCTTGGCTGGGAGCCAAGAGGGCATCTTTAGCTTAGTAGATGTTGCTTCTTTGAAGGAAGAGAAGAGAGAGAGAGATGGCTGCCCCTGCCCTGTGCTTTTGTCGTTACCTGCACAGGTGAGGCCACACCCACCTCTAGTCACAGGCGGAAGAAGTCTGTCCCAGGAAGTTTACCTGCTGGCTGGACAAACATCCCTCCCCATATCTAAACATGTACACTCTAGGAATGTTGTAATTGACTGCTCCTGTGTTTCACATCCCACACACCCAGCACCCACTTTCACCAAAAACAGCACCCCCTCCTCTCCTAAAGCTCACCAAACCTCTGCGTCTTGCCTGAGCTGCCCACTCACTTGTCAGGGCTGTCTACCTGCCTGTCTCGGGTTCTGGTTCTCTCCTCTTCACCCTCTGACATTGCTGTGAGGCCAAACAGCTCTGGGAACCCAGTTTCTCTTGTCTGTGGCAAAGCAAAGTGCAGTGTGATGACATTCTTGAATTGTTATTATATGTACAGATACTGCTTTATTTTTGCTTAGCAGCCACCTTGAATAAATATATGGAAAGGCAAGGCATACAAATGACATAAATCTGGGCAACACTTCTATTAGGACAGCTGAGGGCAGACTGAGCAGGAGCTGGAAGGGGTGGTGTCCCCGCGTATGTGATAACTGGTGACTGTTAATGGCATGTGAATGTGTGTGTGTGTGTGTGTGTGTGTGTGTGTGAACCACAGCCACCGTTGAAATGTGGCCTCCTTCAGCTTTCCACCACATAAAGTGGCTCTCAGTCTAAACAAGTTTTGCCACTCTTCGTTGTGACTTCATTGGATTTCCCATTGATTCCGTACTAAGGCAAAGCTCTCTCTCTCTCTCTCCTTCCTCATTACTCACTCCAGGGCTTCGATAGGGAAAAGGAGTTCATAGCAGCCCAAGGCCCACTGCCTGGGACACTGTACGACTTCTGGCGCATGATATGGGAGCAGCAGATCGTGACCGTGGTCATGCTCACTAACTGCACTGAGAACGGACGGGTGAGAATTGTGCCGTTTGGCTGGGAGTCAGGAAACCGCTTGAACAATGTTCTGCCTCTTGGGGGGGTGCCCATTGGGGGATGTGGGTGGCGCTGTGGTGTAAACCACTGAGCCTCTTGGGCTTGCCGATCGGAAGGTTGGCGGTTCGAATCCCCACAATGGGGTGAGCTCCCGTTGCTCGGTCCCAGCTCCTGCCAACCTAGCAGTTTGAAAGCACACCAGTGCAAGTAGAGAAATAGGTACTGCTGCAGCAGGAAGTTAGACTGCGTTTCCATGCACTCTGGTTTCTGTCACGGTGTCCCGTTGCGCCAGAAGCAGTTTAGTCATGCTGGCCACATGACCCGGAAAGCTGTCTGTGGACAAACACTGGCTACTTTGGCCTGAAAGTGAGATGAGCGCCACAACCCAATAGTCGCCTTTGACTGGACTTAACCGTCCAGGGGTCCTTTATTGTTTACCTTTACTTGCCCATTCAAAAGGGGCAAGCCATCTAGGGCTGTACAAAATATTATCTACTTTGGAGTGTGTGTGTGTTCAAAACTAGTTTTTTCAGTGAGATTGATCACTTCTTCTTCCTTAATCCTCTTCAGTGCCATCGTTTCCGTTGTTTCCTTTCTCCTTTATGAACTACCGTATTTTTCGCTCTATAAGACGCACCAGACCACAAGACTCACCTAGTTTTTGGAGGAGGAAAACAAGAAAAAAAAAATTCTGAATCTCAGAAGCCAGAACAGCAAGAGGGATCGCTTCGCAGTGAAAGCAGCAATCCCTCTTGTTGTTCTGGCTTCTGGGATAGCTGCGCAGCCTGCATTCGCTCCATAAGACGCACACACATTTACCCTTACTTTTTAGGAGGGAAAAAGTGAGTCTTATAGAGCAAAAAATATGGTAGTTGCATGCGTGATCCCACCCCTTCAGGATGAGGCCATGATGCTAAGCAGCCAATTTGATGGTAGGTTGTCGTATGAGGGCAACTTACACAAATAAGCAAATCTTTCTTTTCTCCTCCCTAGAAGTGATGGACATTTTTCTATGTTTGTAAAAGGCAGCAGATGGTCTCAGGCAGGGAGCAGAAGTGTGGAGCTCATTCCAAAGAGCTTGCGACTCCCTAGCTGCTGTGAGGAGGGTGTAGATGTAGACCTGGTCTTCAGGGCCCTTGATCTGTAACAGCCCAACCAAACCTGACCAAAGTTTGACAGTTGCTCCGCTCTTCCACAAGGCCAGTCCTTCCACTAATGTTCTTGGCTCTCCCCTTGCCCCTTCCCCAACCTTCTTCTGGTCAGGTGAAATGTGAACGCTACTGGCCTCTGGACTACACACCCTGCACCTACGACAACATCACAGTGTCCGTCGTCACAGAGACAATCCTTCCCGATTGGACCATCCGAGATTTCACTATCAAGCAGGTGACGGAGCGGGGATCAGGACCGCCTCCCCTGGCGTTCCATCCAAATGGTTTCTGCCAGAATAACTGCCCTGTGAAGTGATATTTATCCAACTGCTTTATCATTGCAACAGAGGCTGTTGCCAATTCCATAGTCTCTTTTCTCCAGCTTTTTTGAGACCCACTCTGTTCTTGTTTTCTTAGTTTTCTGATCTTTAGTGTTGCATTTTAAATTGCTGGGGCGCATCTCGGGACCTTAGGGTGAAGATTGGGAAGTGAATCAAATTGTTATTGTTTAAAAATAACGATGATGATGATAAATAATAATGGTGGTGATAATAATCGTGACAATAATAATGGTACTGACTGTCATAATTTTAATTAAAGATATCCCTTTGAAAATGATAATAATGAAATAATCAGTACTTCTAATTGTGAACTCAACAAAATAAAAGGGAGTCACTGAGAGACAGGGAAGTAATCAGTGGCGGAGCTTCAAGCTCCGGCGTGGGGGCGGAGAGCAAGTGGGGGCGTGGCTGGCATGCGTCCCGGGGGCGTGGTGTGCATCCTTGGGGCGTGACACCCAGCGCGGGGGAGGACAGCCACGATGGCACCCCACTGGGATTGTGCCGCTGGGGGCGGTGCACTCCCCCCGCACCCCTGTTCCTCTGCCAGTGGAAGCAATCCCAAGGCATGCATAAGCCAAAAATACCCTTTAAAACACTGGGGGATGGGCAGCCTTATAAAACCCAAATAATTTCTAGTTGAAAAACAGTAATGATGATGATGATGATGATGATGATGATGATGATGGAGGAACCCCAGGCTAACTTTGGAACCCCTCCTAGTTGGGTTATATGATTTTTTTGGTCAGGATATGAGAGAGGCTTCCTGATCTTGAGCCACAAGATCTTCCTGAATTCTGCTGTGCCTCCTGTATATTGGGTTGTTTTTGGCCCTGATCCCAGCTTGATCCTAGATCCTGCTCCCTGAAGTTCATCCTCCAGTTGTAGTTTACTCTTCTATCTCAACCGCTGGCTCGTCCCACAGAACCTCATTTCCACCTCCCATCCCAGCCCTGACAGCGGGCGAGGAAGGTACGCTGCAACAAAATGTTGCAGGTCCCACTTTGTTATCTCGGACACCAAGCTCAAGTGGTTGGGTTTGGGAGCGGAACAAAGCCACTTCAAAATAAACTGCAAAAGCCCTCGGTATACAGAATCATAGAAGTTTGGAAATAAAAACAAACAAATGAAAACTCTTCCCCCCCATCACCACATGGTGTGACAAGGACCTGAGAGCTTCCACGGCTTTCAGGATGTTGAGGTGCCAATTGGAAAGAAACGGAGGTGAAACTTAGGGGTGGTTCTGAAGAAAGCGCTTGAATTGTGTGTGTGTCCCAACAGGTGAACCTATCTGAGGTCCACCTGGCCAGGCATTACCACTACACGTCGTGGCCGGACCATGGGGTGCCCAAAATCACAAGCACCATCCTTCACTTCCGAGACCTTGTGAGGGCCCACATAGAGGAGCACAGAGGCGCTGGGCCAGCTCTGGTACACTGCAGGTAAACCCAAGAGGAGGGGAAGAGAGGATCGGGGCAGGGGAGAGCCAGGGAGAAGTGTAAGCCACAGGTTCTGTAGACTGAGGCTGCGGAGGGACAACAAACAGCAGAGCCACTTCAACCCAGAGTAGCTTAAGAAGAAGAAGAAGAGTTTGGATTTGATATCCCGCTTTATCACTACCCTAAGGAGTCTCAAAGCGGCTAACATTCTCCTTTCCCTTCCTCCCCCACAACAAATACTCTGTGAGGTGAGTGAGGCTGAGAGACTTCAGAGAAGTGTGACTGGCCCAAGGTCACCCAGTAGCTGCATGTGGAGGAGCGGAGAGGCAAACCCGGTTCACCAGGTTACGAGTCTACCGCTCTTAACCACTACACCACACTGGCTCTCCATCCATCCAACGTAACTATCCCTAACGCCTCTTCCCATGGAATTCTGGGAATTGTGGCTCGGGGGGGGGGAATTGGGAGTCTCCTAACAACTCCCAGCACCCTTAATGAACTACAGCTCCCAGAATTCTTTGGGGCAGCCGTGACTCTTTGAAGTGGCATCATAGCGCTATAAATGTGTCGTGTGAATGTGGCCTTGGTCTTGGTTGACACTGTCCTCTCTTTCCCTCTCCCACCTCTCCAGCGCAGGTGTTGGCCGGACGGGGACGTTCATCTCCCTGGACTCCCTGCTGCGCCAAGCCCAGGTCACAGGGGAGCTTGGAGTCTTCTCCTTTGTTCGGAAGCTGAGGATGAACCGTCCGCTCATGATTCAGACTGAGGTGAGAGGCTTGGAATATGTCGTTATGTGAAGCAGATCTGTCCTGAAAAAGAAGTTCAAAAGTACACCAGTGCAAGTAAATAAATAGGTACCACTGCGGTGGGAAGGTAAACGGCGTTTCCACGGGCTTTGGTTTCTATCACGGTGTCCCGTTGTGCCAGAAGTGGTTTAGTCATGTTGGCCACATGACCTGGAAAACTGTCTGTGGACAACGCCAGCTCCCTTGGCCTGAAAAGCGAGATGAGCACAGCAACCCCATAGTCACCATTGACTGGACTTAACCTTTTACCTTTAGTTACTAAACAGCTTCCCTCTGGCTCTCTTTGGAGACTTCAGTTCTTTGATAAATGACTTAAGAGGATGCAGGCAAACATCTAGGCCATCCATCACATCTGTAAGAATGTGAAGAGGCCCCCTATTGATTGGGGGCCTCTGGTTGACCCCTGTGAGGTCAGGATGCTGGACTAGATGGGCCATGGGCTTCATCCAGCAGGGCTCTTTTTGACGTAAGAAGTGCTCAAAGCTGCCCTGACAGAGAGCTGAATCTTCCTGAGCTATACATGTGACAAAGCAAGTTGAAATTCTGTCCTTCTGGCAGTGCTCTAATCCACACACCCTTAACACCCTCTTTTCTCCACAGTCCCAGTTCGTCTTTCTTCACCAATGTCTCCTGGATGCCCTCCAGCCTCCTCCTCAGAGTGACAGTGAGAAGACAGAGCACACGGCAGTGTATGAAAACACCTGGGCCCTGCAGGGCTACGAGGTGTCCCGGGTGTGACAGCCTGTCTTCTTTGGCCATCGTCCGGGCAAGCGCCCAGGAGGCCCATGTGCCCAAGGGGAAACCACAGCAGACTTTGGGATGGGCTTCCCTAGGGAGGGAGAGGCTGGTTCCATGAGGAGACGCAAATTCACTTGCGATCCCTTCCCCAACCCAATTTTGACATGATTGTGCCATGATTGCACACGTTGTATCTGTTGGGAACATGCGAAATGGAAATGTGGAGCTTAGGACTGAGAAGCTGAGAGGAGCCTAAATGGACAGATCTGCTCTTGCAGCGACCTGTCCTTTGGCTTTATGGGTGAAAAGCAGGTACAGAATTTTACAAATAAAATGAAATAACTGATCAGCACGCATATATCTGAGGATACGACTGTGGTAGAACTTCTGTAGCAGCTCTGGAGGCAAATGGTAACTTCAAGTGTGAGAGAGGGGGTGATTTTTGGTGGGGGGACATAATGGGGGACTGGGACAAGCCCCCCCACTCCATTTTCCCACTGCACCACTCTAACAGCCTATCTCAGGCTTCCCAAGGTAAGGAGAAGTAGAGGAAGAGAATCACACACACAGGATTCAAAGATGTGCTTAATGTCACCTCTGGATTGACATGGGGTTAAAGTGGGTGGGGGAGAGGGAAAGAAGATGCATCTAGCAAATGGAATTAGCAGGATCTATCATGAAGAAACTTATAATGAGCTTAATCAAAAGCAGGGAAGCCTCCAGTAGCGTAGAGAGCAAACAATGGGCGATGATTGGCGACCACTTGTCCTATCTATAGGAAGGCAAACCCACTTAGCTCAGTTGGTTAGAGCATGGCGCTGATAATGCCAAGGTTGCAGGTTCAATCCCCGTAAGGGCCAGCTGTATATTCCTGCGTTGCGGGGGCGGGTGGACTAGATGATCCCTGGGGTCCCTTCGAATTCTATTATTCACCCCAAGAAGAAACGATTTCAACTATGTCTATAAGTCCACAGCATTGGACTTGAGAGCCAGTGTGGTGTAGGGGTTAGTGTGTCGGACTATGACCAGGGAAACCAGGGTTCAAATCTCCACTCAGTGGGTGGCCTTGGGCTGATCACTGCCTCTCAGCCTAACCTGCCTCACATGGTTGTTGTGAGGATGAAATGGGCAGGAAGGAAACCATGTACCTTGAGCTCCTTGGAAGAAAAGCGAAAAATGAATGCAATGAATAAATAAAGGATAAAACTGACTAAACCGCAAGCAGATTAAGTGGCCCGCATGTTTGTTGCATATTGACAATATGGTGATGAAATCCACTGTAGTGTTTACAGGAAGAATCTTTGATTCAGGAGCCTTTGGTTCAGATCTCTGCTCAGCCATGAAGCTCACTGGGCCTGCGCCATCTCTTGCCCACTGTTTTGTCCAAGCTGAACCAGGGTTGTTGTGAAGATATATTGAGTAGGGGGGTGGGAATGCCACACACAAAGTCCTGAGTTCCCTGGAGGAAAAGTAATGAACAAAAGCAGAAGGGATTGGAGAGGATGAAATTCTTTCCCTGTTTTCAAAAGATTTCTTGTATCATCCCAGAGAGGCGATTCTCATTTGCCTTAGGAGTGCAGATTCACACAAGCCCTGTGCAGAAATCCCCACAACAACCAGAGCCAAGATGAGGATGGCAACAGCTCACCCACATGATTTTCAAGGACAGGTCATACAAAGGGTGTTGGTGCAAATTCAGTATGAAAATTCTCAGTAGATAAAACCTCCTCATGGCTTCTGGTATTCCAGATGCCTAGTCTTCTCAGGTTCATGCCTTGAAGCCCTGTCAGTTTCCCTCCCATCACAAATGTCAACAGCCTCTCTCTCTTGCTGGACTTACAAGTCATTGTTTATACAAATTAGGGCTGTCGCCAAACCGAAGAAATTTTACAAATGGACATCCCACTGATTGTAGACTTCGCTGGAGGTGTAGGATTGCAGCCACAGCTGGATCACTGTGTGCATTTGGGTCAGCTAATCAGTTGATTAAATCTACATTGATTTGCGTATGAGTAAGCCAATACCACAGGGGGAGCATAATTCTGATTTATTTTGGGTTTTTTAGATGGTTTATTTGAATCCACTTATGAATCACTTCCGATAAAAGATCTCAAAACAACTTCACAGCAAAAACAATCTGCAATGAAAAACAATTCCATATGTAAAAACAAAAAGGATGGATGGATGGATGGATGGATGGATGGAGTATAATTTATTATACGGTTAAAAATGAACATACTCTATTTAATACAACAAATACTAATGTGGATAAAATAGAGAGAAATAAAATGGTAGGTAAACAAAACTGAAGATTTAATAACTTGAAAAAGAGATAGAAAGTCTATGTAGACCCAGTAGGCAAGAATGACTGATGTATTTCGTAGGTTGTCATGTAAAATTTTGCAACTCATGCTGTAATCTTTGGTTTTCCGTCTTCTAGAAGTAAACTGGACAGCTCCAAACTAGAACTTCTGGGCATTCTTCAAAGAAATGGGGCAATGGTCTTGTACGAGCATCTCGGTAATTTTTGTTGTTGTTTAGTCGTTTAGTCGTGTCCGACTCTTCGTGACCCCATGGACCAGAGCACGCCAGGCACTCCTGTCTTCCACTGCCTCCCGCGGTTTGGTCAAACTCATGTTGGTACCTTCGAGAACACTGTCCAACCATCTCGTCCTCTGTTGTCCCCTTCTCCTTGTGCCCTCCATCTTTCCCAACATCAGGGTCTTTTCCAGGGAGTATTCTCTCCTCATGAGGTGGCCAAAGTATTGGAGCCTCAGCTTCAGGATCTGTCCTTCCAGTGAGCACTCAGGGCTGATTTCCTTCAGAATGGATGCGTTTGATCTTCTTGCAGTCCATGGGCCTCTCAAGAGTCTCCTCCACCATAATTCAAAAGCATCAATTCTTTGGTGATGGAGAATCATAAAAGAACATGATCTGTGGTCTCTATCTCTCCATCATTACAAGGGAAGGGCTGTAAAATGAAGACCTTCAATGGGTGCCAAAAGGGCAATAGGGGCAGTGCACCTGCCTGGTGCATCATGGGAGGGACTTGCAAAGGGTGGGTACCACCAAGCTAGAGGCCCAGTTCTGCTGGGCTGCTCCCCATTGAGAAAGACTGCCTTTGTGAATGCGAGAGAGAAAGGGCAGCAATTATCCTAAAACGGATGGAGAACCTTTTTGGTCCTGGGGGGCAGATCATTCTCAGGCCCCACCCCTTGGGCCAGCTTAGGCAGACAGGTGCAACTGGCACGGCGTTGTGTGATGGATAGGCAGGCCATGATGCCCACCTGTCAAAATTCATTGCACAGCGTTCCCAGGCACCCAACAGCCAGCACAAGGGGCATTGCCAGCCCTATGGTTGGTGCTATGGGAAATGCTGAGCATAGGGCTGGCAAAGCACTTCTTTTTTCCCCTTCCCATGTGGGGAAATAGGGGAAAGAAGGCTACATTTTACAGACAGGGCTAGGTGAGGGAGAAGTCGTAGCTATCCTTTGCTCAGCCAATGTCTTTTTGTTATTGATTGATTGATTGGAGCTGCTTCCTTCAGCTGCAACTTTTTGTTGCCTGCAGGGAACAGGCACACACAGCCAAACTGAGCCGGATTTAATCTCCCACCTCAGTCGTCAACTGTCCTGTTGCTTCGACTGCATGCACCTGTTCCCTGTAGGCAACAAACAGCTGCATCCAAAGCAAGCAGCCCCCCAGCCAGCACAGAAAGGACCCCTGCACTCCCACAAGCTGGTGGGCAAGCGACTGCAGTTTGGGGGAAATAGCCCATGGGGCAAATCTGGACCCCCTTTCAGGCCAGGATTGAACCGTGGGCTAAGGATTCCCACTCCTGTTCAAAAACAATGACCTCTACCTACTACTCTTGTCATTGAAATTCAAGTGCAACCCAATGAACCAGCGAAACTGTTTTAGTCTATTAAAATATTTTTATTAATCTAACCCATTAGATGACACAGCTCTAAAATAGAAAACATGCTGGTACATTTGTGTGTGTTTATGTGTGTGTGTTTGTGTGCACATAGATAGCTGTTTTGTGCTGCAGCAGACTAGCACCGTTACCCTTCCCGCATATATTAAGGCACAACAAATTACAGAGTTTAAACAAACACATTAGGCAGCATGTGAGTCAATGACGGCTGGGGCATGAATTACTTACTTTCAGTGGGTTGCGTGAGAAGCAGTGAAAACATAATTTCCCATGCTGCCAGCAAGCCCAGGTGCTTGATGTATACTGAAAGCTGGTCTGCATTTCTCTCCCAAAACACTCCTCTCCCTGCTCTCTGCCCCTCACGCTGCTGGGACTGAGGTACCTGGGGAATCTCCTAAAGCACCTCTTCACCCAGTTAGACTGTGGGGATTTTAAAAACATCTCTCTTACCGAAAGATAAAGTGGTTGAATCATCCCCCTCCCCTTTCATGGAAAGGACAGAGAATTATTTGGTTGCTGAGGCAACCTAAGTGTCAGCTCCCAAATGTTGCCATGGTGCTGTCAGATCTTTCCTCACTGTTTTTTTTATTTTATTTTTTACACATCAGGTCATGGCTCACATCTGACTCTGGGCTGTAGCACGGCTGAAGGGATATGGGGAGGAGGCCAGCCAGGTGTCCAAGGGGCTCTCTCTAGGATGGTTGCTGGATGAAGTGCGGTGGTACCCAGCTAAGGATGCTGAGTTCATTTGAGATGGAGGGTGAGGTCTAGGGACCCTGATGACTTGGGATGCTGAGGGTGAGAACTCATAGATGCAATTAGGTCCCAGAAGGTGCTGGAAGTCAGGATTCTTAGATAGGAGAGAGGGGTGCTGGAAACATGAATCCTGAATTCTTTAGGAGGAGAATGAGACACTAGGCCCCTCCACACTGGTTGCGGTGGTGTGGTTTTTGTGGTTGTATTCTGCAACATTATAATTTGGGTGGGTTTATTTATGTATACTGTTTCTATACCAAAATGTATTTGACACAATAACTGCCCCTTAGTGGTGGATTGACACTGG